CAGACCTAGGCGAAGGTTCGGTTCAGAAGCAGAAAGGGTTGCTGGTTTGTTTTTTTTTCTTTTTTTTTTTTTAGGGTCAAGGTTTGCAAAAGTTTTACCCCTGCTGTGGGCAGGTTTTGTGTCAGATCCAGGGGAAAGCAAACCTGCTCGTGTTGGTGCGGTGGTCAGCCGAGGCCCGCGCTCACTCAGCAGGGCGTGGGGGTCTAGTTCTGAAAATTTGGCTCTGCGGTGGTGAAGATGTGGGTTGTGAAGTGTCTCGGGAAGCTTTGAGCCGTGTCATCAGTTGGGTAAACGGACTTGTCATCTTCTTACTTTCCCTCTAGCACCAGAATTACCAGAGAAAATTTATTTTAGAGTTTACTTTCAATCCCTAGAAATAGGCTGTGATTAAAATTAATTTAAATTGATTTCATCTTGCGCTAAACTCCATCTCTATGCCTTACGCACCAAAATCCTGATATATTTCCTTATCTGGCTGCTTAGTTCCTGACTCAGACTTTCCTTCTCACAATAAACACACACAAAGAAATACTGAATCTCTAAAAAAGACCTTAAGAATCGATACACCCCATCCTGGACGTTTACTGGGCCAGCGCCCTTGGTGTTAAGGGCCCTTGACGTTAAGGGCTTTAAAACCGCATTCGTGCTCACTCTGCAGTCAGCAAGCCAAAGGCCTTTTTCAGCAGAAGTTCCCACTTCAGATTCATGGCTCGGCAGGCGTTTTTCGGTGCATGAGGGTGCAAACTGAGATGGTTTGAAAGGGCTTTGTTTTTGAATAGCATTGGCCGCTTTCATTATGAAGAAGGAAAACTCATGAAGTGCTGTGCCATGGCTAGGGAAGCCGATGTTCCTCATCTGACACGTGGGCAAGGAGGCTCCTGGACAGGGACTCTTGGTGGCCTGGGCACAAGAGCTTCGCAGCATCTGAAGCACTTTTGTGTCTGGGTTGAGATAACGCCCTTGGAGCTGCTGCTGGGTGCCTGTCCTGAACTCTGCAAGCGCTTCATGAGCTCAGGGACGGTCAGGGAATCCTGGAAGGGAGAAATGGCCGGGATCTGCTGCCCAATTTTGATCTTGGTTTGCTTTAGTCCAGTAATTGCTCCTGGTACTGTAAAGGTAGTGTGTGTTAGGGACCAGAATCTTCAGCTTCACCCATCCAAAATGAGCATCCTAACATCAGATGGGGAAATCCAGTTCTCTTTCTTGCCTGCTCTTTTTCCATCTCCTTGCTTGCACCATCGTCTCACTCCATGGTGGAGTCTGATGTTTGAGCTATGCTGAGCAAGCTGGCATTTTTTAAGGACGCGAGCCAGGATAGCTGTTGTTTAATTCCCAAATGACCCCTAGACAGAAGGCAGTGGGCACCTCAAAACTCACTTCAGTATATGAGAAATGTGTGGGGTAGCCCAGGAAAGATGGAGTCCTCCTGGGAAGGTGCCATCCAGCAATGCTTTTGGCACTCGGAGGAAGTGTTTTCGGGAAGTGGCTTTATCAGAGGGTGTCACAGACAGGGTTTTCGCGTCACTCTCTCGTGGTCCTATGCTCTTACATCCTGCCCAGATGCCATTTGTGTCCCCGTATGTTTTGGTGATTGCCTGTCCTAGATTTTAACAACCAGGCCAACCAACTGACCTTTGACGGGGCCTTGGCAGTCAGCAGGCACCTCAGGTGATATAACCTGATTTAGCAGGTTTCTTACAAAAGCTTTGAAAATCTCTGCCTCGCCTTGTGTCCCCAGGCTGAGTGAAGTACAGTTTCTGCGAAGGCTGGCTCTTCAAACAGCAGCTTCTAGTTCAATTATCAGGAACTCTCTTGGTATTCACACTCAACACCTGTTGCAGTTTTTTGACTTCATGATTTAGTCATGAAAAAGTATTTCGTTGTATTACTCTATAATTTTCCTTTTCAAGTGCCATTAATGGGCGTAGGGATATGTTTGTCGTTAAGGACTAGAGCAGACATCTTGATTCGGTTCATAGGTCTGGCATGGACTCCTGGTGTGATCTTGGATGAGCTGCTTGGTCTCGCAGGACCTTGATTCCTCATCTGTAGAGTGACTATAAAATGCATCTTTGCCAGCTTTTGTCTAGTCAGAGCATTAGTCAAGTGAAATGGAAGCTGGCAGAGGGCATCCGATTGCTTTCTGTGAGCATGTTGGAAGGGTCAATACCAGGGAGGGAGAAAAACTGCTTAAGCTAAAGAGCAGTTTTGGCAGAACAAATAGCTATAAATAGAAGGTGGATAAATTTGAGGTGGAAATTTGAAGAAAGTTTCTCATCATCAGATCAGTTGAGCACCAGAGCAGCCTTCCGGGATGAGCCAGGGGGAGGAACGACCTGGTGCATCACATGCATTTCCACCCCTCCTGACATTCAGACCTGTTGCGTAGCCCAGAGCTACCTGCTGGCTCCTTCCCTGCTGCCGCTGCTAAAAAAATGCCTCTGTCAGCCCCGCTGCTGCCTTTGCACTGCTGCAACAGCGAAAGTGCCGCAGCAGCAGTAGCGTCAGAGGCGTGGGTGGCAGCGGTCAGCTGTGACGTCTCTCGAACTTTGTGCAGGTAGAGTCTCTTAAGGACTGGGAAATGCTCTAGCTGCCTTCAGCGTGGACCTTGACTGGTCAGTGAGCGGGATTATTTGGCGTGGGTTTTATTCCACTGAAGGACTGGTATTGACAATGCCAAAGGTTCTCTTCCCATCTAGTGTTTCCCAGATAAGGCTGCATTTTAGCTCGTGAGACAGTGAAATCTGAGCGGAAAGAAGGTGGTGGGAGTCATTAACAGTTTTCCAAGGCTGGTGATTCTGAGTGCATCATGCTTTCTAAAGGCTGCCAGGTATCAGACATCACTTCTGGATGTTAAAATGTTGAAGTATTTTAATCTTCACGCACTTCCCTACCTCTTTTCTCATGCTCTAGGCTGCCAGATGGATGCCAGAGACAAGCAGCTTTTACGCTCCCTCCGCCTGGAGCTCTGCACAGAGGTGCTGGTGGATGGAGTTGTTATTCAGTATCTCTACCAAGAAGGGTTTCTCACGGACAGTCACGTTCAAGAAATAAAATCCCAAACCACCAGTCAGAGGAAGACCATGATGCTCCTTGATATTCTCCCCACCAGAGGACCCAAGGCTTTTGATGCGTTCTTGGATTCCTTACAGGAGTTCCCGTGGGTGAAAGACAAGCTGCTGGTGAAGCGCAAGGAAATGACAGTACAAGATCCTGCAGGTAAGGCCAGGATTGTTGTTGCTGATGCTTTGGAGTTTGTTCTCAAACTGTAATTTTGAAAGTGTTGAGTATACCAGTAGTTTCAAGTTATGCGTCGT